ATACAAGATAATGGGTAAATAAATAAATTACAATATGAGTGGAAGCTAGATCAGCCTTGGCTGGTTTTATGTGTCAAATGCACCATGACTAAACAACCCAATCTATAGATCTGTAAGTGAATCATCTCCCTGTAGACGTGCAAGTAGAACACGTGGAACACATTTCACTGCGAAGTAACAGGATTTCTGGTTCCAAAATAGGAAGGGAAACTTTCCTGTCCAAACGGGAACTGTTTGGCGACCAGACACGATCAAATATTGCTTTGTGACCCGGCAAAGATTTTCCCGTTTGGACACCTTGTTTGGTCGTATTTGATAAAATTTGAACGTCAACAAATATTTGATCAAACACTGTAAGACATTTTGCTTGTTTGGACGGTCGGTGGTCAAACATGTCTGAAACCATTTGGCCACCCAGTACAAGCAGAAACTGCTGGGAACGGCGCGTATTCTCCAGAAGGTCCTAATCATCTAGTAATAACAACAACAGAGCCCCGTGCCCTAGGATCATGGTTTGGACCCGGCCCTTGTGGAGGAAATGCCCATCATGAACTAAACACTGATACTGCTACTGCTGCTGCTGCTGCTGCTGCTGCTGCTGCTACTACTACTACTACTACTAATAATAATAATGATAAAACAACTATAGAACAAGAAGAAAAGATCAAGCCAATTGACTTAAACAACAGATTTGAATCGAATTATATGGATGTTGAGAGTGAATGTGTTTGAAAAATTAAACCAGGAGGAAAGGTCATTAAAAAAAGAAACACATGGATAAACGCCTGCTACTTGTTCTCTGGAAGATTTTATTCTTAAAGAAAGATGGATAAGTATTTACCAGGGCATCCCCTTTCATTGCATGATCGAGAGCGCACGCTATTCCCTTCACAACCAGCTCCTCCGAAAGCAGCTGCCGGGTCAGTACAGGATCGGCGAGAGATTTGATTTCCACCACCACATGTTACAGAACAGGGTTCCCAGGCTTTCCACTCAGTCCACTTACCGTCAACTGTGCATTCAATAGTATGTCAGTGTTAGGTACGTAAAGATCAAAATAATTAGTCTAAAGAAGCATGGTAGTAGAAGCATCAAAAGCCAGCTTGAGAGCGCGAAAAGAAATGTTTACTTGGGCATGGATTTTCATTGCAAGAGCGTACGTCTTCGCTCTCTCCACTGCATTCTCGGCCTCCATTTCGTGGCGGGGGATTGGTACAAGTTCGAGATCGACTTTGGCTTCCACCAGCGCACGTGACACTACATAGATTCCAGTCTCCCCAGTCGGTCCAATTGCCATGAACTGAGGAAGAAATTAACCCAGTGCTATAACAAGGTTGATTAATTTCAAAAATTCTACTTTCCCATGCAGGTGAACAATGCCGACCTATGCAACCAGAACTAACATCTGCACACTTACAAAATTTTCAACAAAATGAAATATGGAAAAGAATTGATACCAATGAATGATGTGCAAGCTCGCTGCCCATATGACCAGGAGACACAACTCAACCAAAACAATTTGCCGAAAGTACGTAGTTCGTTTTAGGAGTAAAGGCTCCTCGTTGTGTTGAGTTGGTAATTCAGTTATAGAACAGTTCATTTCCTGTCGGCCTTTGCAGTGTTGACATTAGCGTTCAACAAGTTCAAAGATGAGGGAAAACATTTACTCATAATTTTTGTATCTACAGATTAAATGAAATGGGAATGATCGTTTTGTTTATGGTATTTACCAGGACATCCATTTTCATTGCATGATCTAGATCGCACGCGGTCCCCTTCACAGTCCGCTCCTCCAAACGCGGGCGCTGGGTTAGTGCATGATCGACGAGACGTTTGAATACCACCACCACATGATACAGAGCATGGCTCCCAGTCCCTCCACTCCGTCCACTTACCGTCAACTGCGCATTCAATAGTACTTGTATTAGTGCGGGAAGTTGTATTGATAGGTCATGGTTTCGTCACTCCAATGAAGCAATTTGCCAAGTTATAGATAATCAATCTCTAAGTTAGTTTCTTCAAGAGAAGAAATTGATTAATGTGCATTTCCATAAACAAATAGAAGTTACATCAGATCGATTACATGGGGAATCTTTAAAGAAGAAACAGATATGGACCCTCTATTTTGGTAGCAAGAGTAAGCCAAAATTTTGTTTACTTGGGCATGGGTCTTCATTGCAAGAGCGTACGTCTTCGCTCTCTCCACTGCATTCACGACCTCCATATTGTGGTGGAGGATTGGTACACGTTCGAGATCGACTCTGGGTTCCACCAGCGCAAGTGACACTACATAGTTTCCAGTCTCTCCAATCGGTCCAATTGCCATGAACTGCGGAAGAAATTAACCCAGTGCTGTAACAAGGTTGTGTGATTTCAAAATTCTACAATCCATGCTGGTAAACAATGCGGACCTGTACAGCCAGAGCCAACATCAACACACTCACGCAAAGAATCTTCAATATGTGGAATGAATATGAATTGATGAAAATGAATTGATGCATATGATATGCAAGCTTGCTACCCATGACCAGGAGACACAACTCAACAAAAACAATTTGCCGAAAGCACGCAGTTCGCTTTTGGAGTAATTAAAGGCTCCTCGTTGCGTTGTTTTGGAGATTCACCAAAATACAATTTAGTGTGTGTTGGATTGTGCGGAGTGCATATCAGCCTCGACAAGTTCGAAGATAAGGGGAAAATATTTCAACATTATTTTCGTATCTACAGATTATATGAAATGGGAGTGATCGCTTTGTTTATGATATTTACCAGGACATCCGTTTTCATTGCATGATCTAGATCGTACGCTGTCCCCTTCACAGTCCGCTCCTCCAAACGCGGGCGCTGGGTTAGTGCATGATCGACGAGAGGTTTGAATACCACCACCACATGATACAGAGCATGGCTCCCAGTCCCTCCATTCCGTCCACTTACCGTCAACTGCGCATTCAATAGTACTTGTATTAGTGAAGGTCACATTCTTAAGTCACGAGAAAGTGAGTAAGCATTAATAATGCAGCTGCGGCTGGTCTCGTTACTCAAACGAAAAACACTGATCAAGTTATAGACTGCCAAGCCCCAAGTTAGCACGCTTATAAGAGAATAATATTATATTTGTGCATCTCCATAAACAAATAGAAAATAAATCAGATTATAACGACATGATAGAGAATCTTTAAAGAAGAAATGGAAATGGACCCTCTATTTAGATAGGGAGAGTAAGCCAAAATTTCTTTACTTGGGCATGGGTCTTCATTGCAAGAGCGTACGTCGTCACTCTCTCCACTGCAGTCTCGCCCTCCATATCGTGGTGGGGGGTTGGTACAAGTTCGAGATCGACTCTGTGTTCCACCGGCGCACGTGACACTGCATTGTTCCCAGTCTCCCCAATCAGTCCAATTGCCATCAACTGCAGAAAAAATTTGCGCTAAAGGACCTCTCGGTATCTCATCACTACTTGACCTTCCACGGAGTCATCTACCAGGAAGCTATCCAATACATGGCCTTTCGTCTTTAACAATAATTAACTGATAGACAATTGGATTTTGCGCACTCGTTATCAATCTGATTATTTTTCAGCTCAAACATAGAGCTTTTATCATGCATTTTCACCCAATCGCTGTTCATCAAACAAGCTACGTTGACCTACGGGTACGAGGAATGCTAGCACTATCAGGATCAGTGAGGAATTAGAAAGTAAATTTAAATTAGTTTTGTCGAGAAACACAACACAACAGTTTCGATTAAGCTGATGCCTCCTGGTCAAAATATCATTCAACTGCCTTATCTAGTTAATCTCAAACCTTTGAAATTCAATTAATAATTCACATGAAAAGGGTATAAAACATGAAGGATTTGCTCGTATATACTTTTCTTTAATCCAAAAAAACCTTATTACACATATCGCGCAAAAGAGCTTGCTTGGTTGGAACCTAAATGCATAAAAACATAACATTAACAATGGAGTAGTACCACTAATAACAAGAGTAATAACACTAACAATGCGATGTCTTGTTCACATACCTGGACATGGGTCTTCGTTGCAAGCGCGTGTAATTACTCCCTCCCCAATGCAATCCTTCCCTCCATGAGCCGGTGGTGGATTGGTGCAAGTTCTTATACGACTCTGAGTTCCTCCTCCACATGTCACGGAACATATTTCCCAGTCTTTCCACTCGGACCATCTGCCATCAACTATGTTCCAAGCATTAAAAGAATATCTTTAAAAACCATTATAAAATTTAAAAATTGTTTGGCTACTAAGTTGATCATTTACAAAATCCTGGCAAAATAAGGATTTTAAATTCGTGACTAAACTCCTTTTCCACCTTAACCATTTCAAGAGCTATTTGTAGAGAAGGACTCTAGAACCAGGCTAGTTCAGAGGGCCAAGAACAAAACTGAACCAGTCATAATTGTTGTATTACGAGACCACTATATTCCAGGTACTGGAATGGGCACTGCTCCGCTTGATTCCTAACAGAGATTATAACTTGTAGTTTAATGGTTTACTTTCCTAGAAGAATTGATTATTATGTAAAATATAAATATTTTTCCCTTTTCTTCCAATTTAGACGCAAATTTGGCTCTTACAGAAAACTGCGCGCTGCAAGTTTCCGTGATTTTAAGTCGTTTACTAAAATTTGTTATCAACCAAGGTTTCACGGGACACACTGGACAACAGTGGGGGAAAATCAGTCCATTCTCTTTTTTGTGTGTGAAGACCTCGGGCTGATATTCTACACTTGATCCTCGCACTTGGCTAATAAGAGATATAGAACTCGTATTGTGTTAAAGCGACGTAAAACAAAGGAAAGGCTCTCCGGTAGGCCTGTCCCAATTGTGCTCCGCAACGTTTGAGCACCTTTTGGCGTTTGCCGCAACTCTTTGTGGTTCTAGCAACCTCGAGGAAGTTTTGCCTTTCTGGTCAACTTTTGAGCAAAATACAGGTTTAGAGCATGTATCAAACACGGAAAAGCCAATGATTTCATAGAAAACTTCAATTTATGCGAATTTCTCGAATGTTTATCAACCTTTTGAAATTTGAAGTTCGAAGTTCCCTCACAGGTAGCAACTTTTTCGATTTGTGCCAATTTTTAGCAACTTTTTGTCATTCCAGTGAGCAACTCAGTTCCAACATTTTACGAGCCAATCGGGATAAGCCTACTCTGGTGTGGGATAAACTGCATGAGAGATGTGCGTCTGAGTATTTACCTGCACATGGGAACTCATTACACGGACGGGTTCCCTGGCGCTCCCCAGGACAAGGCTTGCCTCCAAACGCTGGGAGAGGATTGTCACAACTCCGGAATCGATTCTGTTCGCCTCCTCCGCACGTCACTGTACACTCGTTCCAGTCACTCCACTCGGACCAATTGCCATTCACTGAAATTTTCAATATAGAGTGTGAGAGAGACCTTAAGGTTGTAATGGACTATTTTCCAGTTAGCTATCTTTTATATATGAGCAATCCTTTGAACGACAACTTGTCAGGTTGATATTAAAGATTTTACCTCTGGCCTGATTTTGTAACACTTGCAAAATACAACACTTAAATATAAACGTCCAGTTACAATAACTTACCCTTTATATTTACCAGGAGTTACTCAGATTATAGTTTGATACATAATTTGATTGCAGCGAGATATTTGTCGTGAAAATTTTCTATTGTTTTGTTTTTAATTCGTTTCTGTTGGATCGCACATCCGGGACAGTGTACATTTGACCATTTGATTGACATTTATCACGTGATTTTGTATATATATGATTAATTTTTTTCGATAGACATTTCAGAGTAAGAATAAATTCGAAGTCAAAACGATATTTGCGATCTTTTATTCACGATAATATTTCAAAGAGGCTTTTGGAGCTAGTGGAAACATCCGAAATTTGTTGTTGAGCAGTTGCAGACTTCTGCGCACGTAGTATAAAAGAGCTCAACATACGCTTAAGTAAGAAAAACGGCCAACCATGTCTTTTCGGAGATCCAACCGGACCGTCCATTGGCACCAGGCTTGTTACCTTGCAAATACCACGTCTTTTCCATGCCATAGCTTTTTCGTAGGTCGTAGGTGCTCTAAGTTCTTCTTTAACAATAACTATTTAAGGTCCATGCTACGCGGTGCATCTTAACCCTGACTTTAAACGTCTATAACCTTTTCAATATAGTTCACAGTAAAAGTTTTGTGACTGTCTCTTAAACGTACCTGGGAACAATTTGATATCAGTGACATGTCTTTGTACTTAAGAACTTGATGTTTCCGTAACAACCGTGTTTTGACATTCATTTTTTTGGGGGGGAATTTGACATTTTGTTGCTGTTGTTATGGTTGCGGAACCCAAAACGGCAGGTGTTCGGAAAAAGTGACGTAATAATACGTGATATGACGTCTTAATCTCACGTTTCTATATATGTCTGAATCTATGAAAACCGAGTTAAAGACTTTGCACCAAAATAACGGGCATGTTTTTGGAAACTGAGAGTGCTATCTACTTCGTGTACTCTTAATAAAGTCCATACCATGCCTATACAAGCCTTTGAAGTCGCTTCAAATGAGTCAAACGAGCAAAACAAAGCTAAATTAGAGCTTAAATTGATCATTTGATTCGCGGAACTAATTTAGACAGGCTTAAACTCTGCGATTTCACCTAAATGACCTCACTATGTCTCTACTGTAGGTTAAATTAGCCAATCATGGCGACAAGAGCATGGTAAGCAGTGGAATTGGTTATTAATTTATCTCTATATTTCAGCGAAAAAGTAGCCCTTACGTGACATTTAATTTCAATAATCTGTCTTAATTCGGGGAGGCCAGGAAGACTGAATTCACCGTCTTTTCGTTGAATCATGAATTGCACAATTTAATTAAGAGTGCTTTCGACATGAAATTGGAGTCTAAATCAACACGAACGTACAGATATCAAAAACGCGGCGGAGAGCTGAACTATAGCTTTCTAAAGCCCCGCATCGTCCTAAATGGACTGAACAAGAGCTTCCTACATCGAGAATCGATAGAACTTCAAACAAACTAGGCCATAGGTAGCAGTAAGCGAACACTCAACATGTTGTCGTTACGTCAATTATCGCCCGGAAGCCACGCAAATAAATTTNGCAGGGAGTTTCTAAATTCCATGCTAGGTAAGATTTACAAGTTGCTGTCATAGCGAAAGCAGAAAAAAAAAATAAGAAAAAAAACAACTAACTCAAAAAACACTTGATTCAGTCTTTAACGCCGTTTTCATAAATCCAGACATAGGTATATACTGTAGGTTTCGTTGTCATTGCTTAACTATTCCTGAAGTTACATAGGTGAGGAAAACTTACTTCGCCCTTCTCTCCTGGGACCCGTTTCTCGAAAGCCACGGAAACTTTCCGGCCCCGCACATCCATTTTTAGGTAATCCGTATCTACAAACAGCGAGCTGTATATGCTTGAAACGTCTTATATGAAGAAAACCTCCGTTCATATTAAGAATATGTAAATAAAACAGCTCTGTAATTATAAGGTTTGAAGTTTTGCTACAGCTTTCCGGGTTCGAAAAGTTTCGGGACCTTCGAGAAACGGGTACCAGGTAATAGAAGACTTGGTAGCCCGTCTGATTAGGGAATTATCGACATAAGGCCTTAAAGGCTTTTACAGACACAGCATGCATGGCTTCTTTAGAGTTAACGTGAAGTCTTTGACACTCACAGTACAACGTAAACATATTTACGGACACTAAATACACATAACGATAAACAATTTACCTGGACACTTTCTTTCCGTTAGTTCTGTTACTAGGTTTCTGAGCTCTGTAAAATCTTGGGCTAAATACACATCGTTGTCCGTTGAGGCAAGTGTCAAAAGATCTAATAACTGGGTGTTTGGCCCAATACCCAGCGATATCACTCTGATGCCTTTTTTTTTAAGAGGTTGAACAGCTGCGGAAAGGATGTCTATAGCGAGGTCGGAGTCTTCGTCTTTAAGCGTCTGTTTGCCATCGGTCATAACTAAAGCCACCTGAGAGTTTCAACGAAATCAGTCATAAAATAAATGATTTTTTTTACCCAAAAGCGCGCGCTCTCATTGGCTACTTCGAGGTCACGTGACATTAAACAATAAAATTATTTCCCTCGGCCCCGCCTCGGGAAACATTATTCTCGGGGAACAAATTTAATTGTTTCCCCTCGATCACGACAAGTTAATAAGTGATTAATATTTCGGGAGGAAACCACATATTCTATAGCTGGTTTTCATGCTGGTCCTCTATCCAGCTCGAATTGAAGTTTGGAAATGTTAGGCCCTTTACCTCAAGGAAAGAGGCCGCTTTCAGTAGAGGGAGCTTGCGATGCAGACATGGAGGCTTACCTGCAGTATGCCTTTATGTGTACAACCGAACTATGTGCACATGCTTACATGGCATGCATTTCAAGACAAGGAGAAGCATATCATGGGGAGAGTGCAAATAAAAAGCTCACACTCAAGTTTACGTTCAAACACAGAGCTGAAAAAGCTATTTTCTTACCTTCAACACATCTGGTCTCATTCCTCCTTTGGCAGAAAACACATCTCTGTTCGCCATTGCCAAAGCTTTATCTATGTACGTCTTACCACGATTATGAGGAATTTTACGAACTTTCCGTTTCAGATTAGCGGCGTTCAGCGCCGCCCCTGAGAAATCGTTAAACTTCACTTGAACGGAGGGGTTAGTGCTGTATTCCACGATAGCGATACGTGTACCATCCTCTGATATATCAAACTCATCCACTATCTCCTCTATAAAGTCTAACAACTTTTTGAAATCCCTTCTACCAATGCTGCCTGATGTGTCCACAATCAGGGCGAAGTCCAGCGGTATGGGGCAACCCTCTAAGCAAATTGAGGAGACAATAACAAAGGCAAGCATCAAACACAACGACCTTTCTTCTTGATTTATGTTTAAAAAGGAGGATAGACGACAGTTTGAAAAAAAAGTTTGAACCTAGTTGTAGGATGACAAAGACATAAGGGTAAAATTCTAAATCTAATCCGAATCAGATATAATGAATTTTTAATTCAATGGTTTTGATGAATTTTAAATCGTATTTTTTCGTTGTATTTTTCGATTTGAATTTGTAATTGTAGTTGTTTGGTAGATTTTCAGGATCACAATGAGAACTAGTGATTTTACTAGTTATTGTGTTATCTAATAAAGTCATTATTTATCTATTTATTTATTTATTTATCACCCCACCTTTTCAGTAAAATTCTACTTAGTACTGCTTTTAACGTGATCGCGGGAGTAAACATGAGATGTAATTTTAAAAACTAGCAGCTTTGAATTTACTTACCAAGGGAACGAGGTTTGGCACACATCAAAGAGCAACCTCCGTCTGCTGCTCGTGGACAGCATTTCTTCTCCTGAGAGCAATCTGAATCCGCGAAACAGATATTCTCGACCCTTGCACCACAATCATCCTCAATATTCGAAATTTTTGGACAACTAAAACTCGCTGGAAAGAAATTATACATTACATCATTATATATTTATTACAATTTAATGAACCAAAGTACTACAAAATCTAGAAAAAATATTATACAATAAGAAAGGTACCATAAGGACAACAACAACAATGCTTTATTTACTCTAGACATAATACACATTTGCAAAGAAAGTTACAATAACTTACAATAACTAAGGGAAAAGATATGTGCTTAAATTTGAGCCAGGGGAATAAATGAACCTTGCGGTGTCTGAGTTATCCCCTTGCTTTCTACGTGCAAAACAAAACAAGACCAAGGGAATGAAGGAGACAAGTAAATAAATGCAAACACAGGGAGACAGACTGAACTATATGAGCAGTGGATATTCGAAGGAATTGAATGTTCAAAATGTTAGTTACTTCATGTTATTTTCAATTCGAGGATGGCCAGCAAAAGAGACGTTAGATTAAGAGAAACGATAATAAAACTAACTGGCGCAACAGTTTGCTACTAAAGATGTTGGGGAACTGACCGTCAATTAATGTATTTTCGATTGTAGTGCACTTAACCTTCCAAATGTTCGTTAAAATAAAAACTAGTTGTTGTTGGAGGTATTTCTGCAAAAAAATGCAATTGGTTGTATCTTCGATTTTCTATGTCTTCTCGAAGTCGCGGTTGAACTTTGTTACGCGAAGGAGTTTAGGGAGTCTAGTGCGGGATCGTTTACCCAGGAACCAAACACGATAGCTCCTTAGTCAGCTCTCTGTATTTTGCTCGCAAAAATGGAAAAAACAAAACAAACCATTATAATATATATTTTGGGACTAAACCGTTCAAATTTTGTTTTGGAATCAATTTTTTCGTCGCTGGAGTTAGAGCTAAGTTTCGATTCGGAAGACTCTTGAAATAAACTTCAATCCAGCATATTCAACAACCGTGAACTTTTATGGTACTCAAAGGGCCTTGAGAGCAGTTTGTGATATTTTAAGCGACGACGGGGATGACCTTTTTTTCAGGACTAGCTACTTGCACATCAGGAATGGAAAGCTTAGTAGATACGAGATGGATGTACAAACGACGAGCTGGAAAGAACACTCGAGGACTCACTCCGTGCTTTGATAGCACCAAAAAAGTTAGTCAGATGATTATTTCGTCACCTACACATGATTCCCACGCGTGCTTTTTAGCCGTTTGCATTTGTCGTTAGCGAGAATGTATTTCTTAATCTTTAACTTATGGTAGTTCCGTTAAATCCAGTTTGTGTTTTACTCTCTATAGAGTGTTCAGGTTTATAAGAGTGACTTAGCTGTTGCAGTTTTCAGAGTTGTAGTTTACAGACTTGATGACCTCCGAATGCAAGTTAGGCTCAGTTTCCAGCCGTGAGTGTTTCGGTGCGCTCGTGAGCCTCCCGCACTGAAACGTCCACGGTTGGAAACTGACCCTTTGCGTAGTAACTCTCCTGGCGTTTTCCCGTTAAGCGGCGTAGAAGAGAACTCTCAGTTAAGGCTTACTTAACCAACTCAAAGGATACAAAGCTTGTTTTGGCTCATTCCTATTGATAATTGGCCCATGCTTTCAGTGTGATTATAGAGAACTCAACCAAAAAAGTTGAGTCGATCAATTGAAAATCGTATTGCTTAACTGAACCTGTCTTTTTGAAGCCATGGAAAGCAACAGCATTTCATACAATTACTGATTTCACATTGTCACACGTTTAAGTCGGAACTATAAATAAAGCAATGTTAATTATGCCCACAGTTTGTGGTGTCATTCGTCGGATAAGTGAGCGGATGAGTTCAGTGAGTGGTCCGCGCAGAATGTTTGTCGCAGTATTGATTTCCAAACCTTCGTAAAGCTCTGCGAGTCCAACAACTTTGTTTTCTTTTTGAATTATTATAATGAAAGATTAATCTTTCACTTTTCCCTAAATCGAAAGAAAAATAAACGTTGACGCCGTACAGCTGCGCCGCTCAATTTTCATATCATCCATCACGCTTGTGATCACACACGTTTGCTGGTTATGTTATGAATAGCGCGGAATTTGAAGATTTTAGGATGTCGGTAGCATATCTACAAACTGCCGCTGGTTTTCCTTTGGCGTGGCCTGGTTGGCGTTTTGAAGACGGTCTGCGGAGCACATTCCAGTGAGAATTCTCCAATGGTTCTCACTCAGTCATTTCGCTTGGATCAGTTCGACAACAACAACCCATCGTTTGCTGCTTCATTTACGGTGCCATTGACCTATCATTGCCAGCGAATTGCACAGTGTATCTTTCT